CTAAGATATTTGCAGCTTTAATCAAGCATTCCAGTGCGTAACTTTTGCCCGCCACTCAGCTTTGTGCGTCGGTGAAGCAATCAAAGCAAATTGCTAAGCGACTGCTCTGATAAGTCCCTCGGACATCACACAACTAATGCCAATGTCTGCCGTAATTTGACACTGACAATGACTAGAAGCGACTAGAAAGGACGAAAATGCTCCAGCGTCTGCATAATGCTTATTACCGCAATAATTTACAGAGCTCTGACTCACTGACGGGCTCACTAGCTAGCTGCTCCTTCATTTGCCGATGGCTTCAAACTGCATGCAGGCAAAGAACAAGAACAACAATAGCCAGCCTGTATTTCCAACACCAAGAAACGCATATTGCACCCACACATTAGAGCAAGTGATGTTTTTGCTACACTCCAGCATTTCTACACTTATTGTATATATAAGTTTGTGTGTGTGTATGTGTGGGACATGGAAGTGAAAATAAACAACATGACAACGCTTTTGAACTTTGTGAGTGACAACGGCAGCTACAGCAATGGCAACAACAGTAACAGCTACTCGTACATAGCTGATGTCAGACATAAAGGCCAACAGAATTGAATAAGCAAAGGATCAAATTTCGAGTGTCGAGATATTAATACTCTAACAAAGCTTTTGCCTCGTTAAAGAGTAATTCAGATTAAATATGAAATTAGTATTTCTTTTACACTCATCGTGACTAACTCCATATTAAATAACATAAATAAATAACATAAATATTACATTTTTCTTGTATACACATTGAAGAATTTTTTACAAAAGCCAAAAACTTTAACAAATACATTTTTCTATATATTTATTAGATTAATAATTTCCTTTTTATAGACATTCTTTGTAGTATAATGCAAGATAATATAAATATGGATAATATTTACATTCTTTAATTTCAGAGCACATATATACAAGCCAAGTAATTGATTTTGTACAATAATAAAATTATTTTATTTTATTTTACAACCATAAAATTAGTAAAACTGATTAACATTACATTACATATTGAATCCAAATAAGGCAAAATTGAGGCAATTATTAATTTAGTTGGCTCGAACCTCATTAGCCATTTTTGCTAAAGATTCGCTTCGCGTTCTAACTGAACTGATTAAGTATTTTTTAGGTTTAGAGCAATTTTTCAAATTTAAGAAGGAAACAACTTTGCACCAACCTTGCAAATCCAACTAAGTAATTATATATATAATATATAACTACCCAAACAAATTAAATAAAAAAGTCCGTCTTTATTTTATATTGTTTTCGATAAATTTGTATTTTTATGACAACTCATTATATGTATGATCAACACCTAAATCACGATGCTCCTCCCTCCTTCCAAAACTTTAATTAGATCACCACATCTTATACATACATAGATGTACAAATTATATGAATTAGAACTAAAGAAGATAACTTCTAAGCTCCTTATTATTTACAGAAACATTTAAATTATATTAAAACAATTGTGATTGACTAGAAGAAAAGTATTTTAACCATTCGGAGTGTAAATAAAAAAATAATAAAATTAAACCAAGAGTTTTGGAATGAACTCTCATTTTTAGAGAACTCAACGACTTTTAAGCATTTCAACTTTTTATATAATTTAAAAACTGATTTCTTAAAAGATCTCACATCGGACTAAAAAGTGATTCAAATCCGCATTAATATTTTTACAATTAGTATTTTAATGTTGAGGGAAGACTTCATATTTTTTATTGCAACTCTCCTTCTACGTGTTGCGAGATATCCAAAGAAAATAGTTATGTCCTTTCTAAGTGTATTCTTAATTGCGAGACCCTGCTATTGTAATACGCAAAGAATGCAACAGTTTTTGTTTGCAACTTGATGCCATTTAATAGCGGCGCAATACTTTCACACTCGCACTCATATAATCATCACTAAATAGTAAGCACACTCCGTAGGAATGTGTACTTTCTGTAAGTGTGTGAGCGTTTGCCAGTGTCATGTTGCCTATTATGAATTGTGCAATTGTCATCAACGCCAACGCAACGCTCAGGCCTTTCTCTTATCTAAATGACTGACTGCCTGACTACCCAACTGACTGACGGAATGAGGGATGTGGACTGACAGACAGAAAGACAGACAAGCAGACAGGCAAAAGTAGAAACAGTCAGCGCGTTTGCTCCAGAGTTGTTTGAACATTCGTCGAAACTCTGGGTCGGTACTTCTCCTTATACTCATATCCTTTGCCCATCAACATGCGCTTTGTTTGGCCCCCAGAGACGACACGCGATGTCTACTTGTTTGCTTACATCATCCGTTAGAGCTTGACTTGGAATCATTTCTGGTAGTACTATTGCAGTTATTGTTTCTGATGCAGTTTCGCACTTCGAGCAAATGACTCTTCAGCACTAAGAGTGTCAGAAAATTGTACAAATTTTTTGATGTTCATATTGTTGGGTTTGTGGTGGCTCTTGACCTGCATTTCGTTTTGGCAAATGACACATGTGTTGTTATTTCGTTTCTGCCAAAATAGCCTGCTAGCCTGCCAAACAAAAAATGGCTTACATTTATGCCTTCAATTTATGGCAGCAGGCACTCCCATTAACCCAAGGCAAAACACATTAACTGCGAGTTTATCAAATGGTTCGTTCAAGTATTTCATTAAGCTAAACTCATGCATAACAAGTCGCTTATTACGTACACAACCAGGACATCATTCCCATCATGTGACGCAGCAATGAGACTCAAAGCAAAAATCTTGGTTGATTTTAGCAACATCAAATCGCAGTATTTGCACATCCTCTTGTGGGATCATCGGGTGCACTTTAACATTTATGCGCTTTTATGGCACATACATCAGAGTCAGCAAATTAAGAAACGCAAAACCCATAACACGACCAAACCATCCAGATAACATCCGCCCGCTCACGAGCTACAAACCGAACCGCCAGAGTTTCAAAAGCAAGCGTATGAATTCGATAGCAGTTAAAGCGCGCAACGTCATTTGCTATTGTGTGTGAAAGTAGTGTGTGTGTATATGGATATACTGTTATTAAAACACTGAAGCTTATTTGAATAGATGCAACTATATTTATTTTGGAGTACTTATATTAAAAAGCAGTTTAAAAATTGTTTTCAGCCTTGCAACTGAAGACTTAAGTCTGAAAACTGATTATATATACAGTATTTATAGCAAATAATAATATTTGAATTAAAAATTCCTTATTAATGGAAGGATGGTTAATCTTTAATTATATTGGATCTGTGCATGAAATGCTTTTTATTATATTTGTACTAAAGCTTCACGCCCATTTCAAAATAAGCGAGGTATTGGCATTCTAAAGAATAGGCCACTAAAAAATTATCTTATACTATACTGATTCATGTGCCGGCTTTTATTTATCTCTAAAAAATTTTAATTTATATTTTTCGGCATATTTGCACTAAAGCGGCACTCCAAGAGAAACAAATACGAATAACAAATACAGTAATTATCTTAAAACAGTACATTTTGTAATGGCAACATTAAATATATTCTAGGCATGTTCAACAAGTGGACAATCGGGACCAAAAGTCGCAACACTCTTACACTCAAAATAAACAATTGACTAGCTATCTCCAGACGTTTCAGGCAGAGAACTACACATTAAGTTTAATAAAAACTTTTGAGGCATTGCCAATATTTTTTTGAGAGTTATGCTGAAGCTATTCATGTGCTCTGCGCTGTGTGTCTGACTGTGTTAGCTTGTTTGCATTCATCATCAGCAACGGCAATTGAGTGACAGCATCATCAACATCGGCAGCAATAGGAGAAGTGCTTGTGTGTGTGTGTGGAGGGGGAGTGGAGATGAGATGAGGGCGACTGAGCTTCGTCACAGATTTACATGTTGCAGTTCAGTTTTGCTCTCGTTGCCATTCATAGGATTCGTGTGCAGCTGATTGCATGTATTAGTGACTGTGTCTGTACTCGTACGTAGAGCTGTCTCCATGTCCGCCAGTCTGTGTGTCTATTTGATTGCCGGCAGCATGTAGCGGCAGCACGGAAATCTTTTATGCTTATGAATATGCGCGCTGCACAAATATCACATGCTTGTCACTCTCATTGATTGAAGTGATTGAAGTCTTTTTGGTCTTTTTGGACTTTTGGACAGACTCACAATCACATTCGCTATGCCACTTTTATTTATCTCGTAGCAACAGCAACAGCAATAATTCGAACAATACCAAAAACATGTGAAAACTGCAAGTTTCATTCAAATTCCACACAATTATGGCTTGTCCCTAGCACCTGAAGATGACTTCATAAGAAGCTTACGTATTCCAGGTACGAATATGTAACACTTTATGTCGCTAGTGATTACCTTCAATGGCTACTAGACATTATTGATTTCAGTGCGAGCCAAATGAAAAGCATTCTCGTATAATATTTAGGGTCGTTAATAGTTATTGTTATAATTATGGTATTTAATCTACACTAACACGCAAAGGTCGGCAATTGTTATTGATTAATATTGCTAAAGAGCCAGACGAGCCAAGACGAGCAATTTAGCGACAACAACAACAAGTGCAGCTTGAACTCAACAACTAACTAATAATGAGAACGCAATAAAGTAGGAATCTATAATCAAGAATGTACAGCATTGCTTACAATTTAGTTTAATTAAGTTAATTAGAGCTTTAGCTGTGAATATAAATATATCCACCTACTTGTATTTAATTAGCATTTTTATTAAGGCGTTCATAACTGAGCTTAATGGCAAAAGTGCACATTCTTATCTATTTTGTTGCACTTAATTAACGTCAACATGCAGTAAATATTAGATTAGATCTCAACCTGGGAAGTCATCGCTTTGTCGACGTGAATTTATTAAACAATATACAAGTATTTCTTAGCTGAAATGCCTCACGAATAAACACAATGCAGACCTCTCAAGGACCCCCTCAATTACGTTTGGGTGGCCAACTGGTAATAAGATAGCTTTTATTTGTGTATATTAATTAAATCATAATTTGAATCTGAAAGCATTGAATGCAATGCTAAAATTTTGTTTATTCGAAAAGTGTTCAAACTGTTTATCCTACACTAACATGTCACAAAGTATAATTTACACAATACCTAAAGCTGCAGCCCTTGTTTTATGATATCTCGAGGTCTTTGATGGTTTTAAATGATACCTAAAGAATACATAGGATACAAGACTTTAAGTCCAGCAATTTAATTGCAGTAAGTTGTAATACATACTCCTCGCCGCGAGGCATATATATGTTGCACACTATAGCGTTTATCAAGTGCAGAACTCCTGCTATCAGTCCACAAATACCGGTTGTGTAAAACCTATAAGCTTTATCGTTTCCACAATGACCGATCATCGCTATAAGCAGCATAATAGAGGTGATTGTGCAAATTATGCCGCTGGACAAATTGAATATAACAGCCTGGGTAAAATATGTCTTAATTTGAATAATCAGATAAGGAGAAAACCTGTGATACTACCTACAATTGGATCAAGGCCGACGGTTCCACAGCAAACACGAAAAAGTGCTAAAATCAGCGACTGAAAGAAAATAGCTGGTAGCAGATACAATTGAAGAAAAACCGATGCGCCATATTCACCGCCCAGAACACAATGTGTGTATATTACCTCAAAGCACAAAAAGTCGAGGGCAATGAATTCTAAAATCTGGAAAGAACAATTTATCACTAGGTAGCCCAGATAGTATGTATATACCAGCCAGATCTTACAGTGATGATTAGTTGAAGGGCACAATTTACGCCACGAAAAGGGAAAGCCATACTGAGAATTTAGTTTTATTAAAAAAATAAATATATATTTTGTTTGACGTTGACACTTCAAACAAATTTTCGGCAACTTATCTGACGGGGACGAACTCTGCACAAAGTCTATGGGTCCTGTTGAGTTTGTTTGCACAAAGCGAGCGTGCGTACGGTTAACAAAGGCAAATGCCAGTTAACAGGCCAGTTGCCTGAAAAGGTTCACTTGAGGGCAAATGGGGGCCTAATTTATATGTGAGAGGTGGACATCCTTTTGCCTGCCGCGGCATTTTATAGCTTTTTGCGCCTTCCACAATTATTGAGGGCGCAACACAACTACATAGGAACACACACACCTACACAAACACAGTCACACGCATTTCCTTTGCTTATATTTCAGCTAATTTCATTACTTGCGGAATGTTGCGATGATTTCATGCAATTTAAAGCCACATTTTTCAGTCGTTAGCATTTAGCATAGTCGCGCACTCGTCGCCGTTGCTTTTGCTATTGGTATAGCATACCTTTTGGGGCACACAAATAAACACACACACTTATACAGCCGTCAGCTGCCACTCGAGAACAGTGGCAGCAGTGAAAGCGAAGCACAAGTGCTTGTATAGAGGGCCCCCCCCCCTCGTCCCTCCACACTCCTGGCTTTTATAATAATTGCCTGTTGACACGGGATAGCGAGCAACTGTAGCGAGCTTGGAGCCTCGTTCTACAACTCGTCCTGGTTCTAAGCAATTGGAATCTACGCGTAGCAAAGTGGGGCCGAAAGTGGGTATGTAAAATGGTAACGTTTTATGGCGCTGATAAATGAAATTTCAAAACGAACAGGCATACACATACACACACAAGCACACAAATACAATCAACGTAAGGCGAAGGAAGGAAAACACAAGCGAAAAAAGCAAAAACATATTTTCACTGTAGTACACCCTTTTTTGGGGGCAACACGGCCTTTCCCTTTGTCTCTGTGTGCATAAGTGTGTGTCACTAAATAAGGCACTTTGATGACCGAGGCAGTGGGACGCGACGCGACGCGACTTGCCGCGACCAAAACACCAACAAGAACAGTATGACCATTAACAACAACAGCCAACGACTTACTTCATTAAGGCTGGTATTTTTATTAGACTTTTCTTGACATTCTCTAATAATATGATCGATTTTTATGTTATGCCCACACACCAAGCCCCTCGCAACTTTTGGCAATTGTGATAGATGAGGCCACGTATTTTTGTTGTTCTTTTCTTGACTTTCCTTCGAAGGAAAAGTTCTTAAAGCCATTTGCCATAAATTTAAAGCCAGGACAATTGCGCTGCAGCTTGCATATTAAGCCAACTGACAGCCTGTTGTAATGTGGGGCCTTGACTCGAAATTTATGTTCAATTTTGTGGGTAAAACTTTAAGCAGCAGCATGAACACAGCACCAGCAGCTCATTCTACATTCTAAACAGACTTGGGCAAGAAGAGCAAACAGGAGCAATGACGGCACTTATACTCTCGCTCTCTCTGTGTCTTACCCTCATTTGGGCGCAACAGTCATATGAGAAGCGACAAGGAAGGTACGTTGTTTGCTCGCTACCACTCCGACTAAGAAAAGAGGCAGTCCGTTAATTAAATCTCTGTACCCAGTCAGCACAAAAACTTGACGACCGTACGAAAATGTGTACCCGAGTGGGCATTATAGCTGAATAAGTACAGCCGATCTACTATACTTTCTTTAACCTTCATATACATGTACATACTTGTATTTATTAAATTTTTAGAGAAACTCATGTACTCATGTTTTTACTTTTTCATTACTAAAGTATTACTAGAATAAATTTAAAATCATCTTACTTATACCGAAGAACTGTAGGGAATTAATAAATAAGGTAACTATGAGCTCGTACAGCCAAGGAAAGAAACAAGCTGTCGAACAGTGGGATACGAATAACTTATTAAGCAATTTATGGGAGCTGGCACGCCTTCGACTGGCCCACTCACGTTGCCCTTCCGGTGAAGGGTATAGAAAGGGCCAGAGTGCTGAAGCGCTTTTATTTCAACAACGGAAATGTAGGCTATGATTTGCTTACTTTCCAGTGCATTCCCCAATGTGTGTATGGGTGTGGTGTAGGTCCAGGTCCCAGCAAACTTTGCGGCGTTGAGTTGCTCGAGTTCTTAGCAACATAAATCAAATGCATGTAAAATTTTGCACTTTCCGCACACATATCCTGTGCAAGTGCATTGAGACAAGCACACACGCACACATGCAAGTGTACTTGTCACATGCAATAATAACAACAAATACACGCTGCCGTGCATTGGTGTGTGCAATGTTTTGTGCACATCCGTTAACTTTGTCATTTTTGCTCATTTCCTTCCGGTATGTGCAAGAAAAGTGGAATCAAGCAACAAGAACAAGAGTAAACTACAAACGAAATAATTCCCAGCAGAGAACACTGACAAGTAGAGTCGGAGCCCAGCACAAAACAAAACACAGCGGAAAGCGGCAATAAGTTGAAGGCACAACTTTTTCTATCATCAAGCACACACACACATATACACACATACATACACACACATGCAGAAACACAACAAACACTTTTGCATGAAATTAGTAAAGACTCTCGAGCACAGACTTGAGCTGCACTGCTTCACATTTGCTCCTTCTATATAGAATGCCTGCTCTTCACTGACATAAACTTTGCGAAGGAATTTAATTATTTGGAGTTGAGACTTGGCCACGCAGGCATTATTTTTTGCACATTACACATTGTACATATACATATGCATTTATATACTAAGCTGTTTACGAGTATACGAGTAAGTAGTACGTTTGCAACAGTAAGCCGGCTTTGGCCAAAATGCATGCAATTTTCATTGCATTTATTGTGTCAGCAACGAGTTGCGTACATTTGATATAGACGCAACAATTTATTATTTAAGCAACAGCAGCCAAGCAAACAAACAAACCAAACTTCTGACTTCCCCATCACACCCGCCACATTTCAAACGACAAAGTTTGTTTGTTTATTTTTTTCTGTGGCATGTTGAGTTTTTATGCGACATACGAACCACAAAATATTTACACTTCCTTACTTTTGCTTCTTCGACTCTTGTTATTGTTTGAGTGTTTGTGTACTGGGCACAAACTCTCATTCGTTAACGTAACTTCACTTATGTTTATATTTTGTTAGGCACATTATGTTTGAATTTTTATTTGATTAACAAGTACTCGTATGTATTCATTTATTTAAGCTTACATTCTACGCTTATTTTACTGCTTGCTATTGCCATGCGCATAATTCTGTCCAATAATGGTTTATAAGCACATCAAAAAAAATTGCGCACACAACACAAGCAAAGGCAAAGTCAAAGCCAAAGCGAAGTAATTAGCATGGCTTGTTAAACTTTTTCAAAACCAATTAAATTGCAAAGGCAACATACACGCACACACACGCGAAAAAAAAAAAACAAATATATACACAGCAGCACAAAGCTAACTTGATAATGAAATATAAGCGAATACCCTTTGAGCAGGAAAGTTTTCTCTACTAAAAAAAAAGCGACTCTACATACGGTGTAAAAAAACAAAAATCAAATAATTACGACTAAAACAAAAAATGAAAAAAGCCAAATCCACGTACTTTAAGGTATGCATGTGTGTGAGAGCGGACAACTTTGTCACGCATGCGAACATATCAAAATGTCTAAAAAATAAAACAAACAACATTATTAACGTTAAATTAAACTTCCTAAAATTGTTTACCTATGCGACGATGTTGTCAAACATGCGGCTGGCCGAGGCAGACATAGCACAAAAACTTTTCCTGCATACACACTTATCACACATGCACACACATATCCTTCACGCGACAAAAATTTAAAACCACCAGCAATATGCAAAAGCTTGTTTAGGTTTCATGAAATTTGTGGTACTTGGAAAACAAACTGCAAACCGAGGCAGCGACCACAAAAATGAGGGGGAGAACAAAAGGCAGCTTATTAGATGTAATTGAACCTACAAAGAGCAGCTGGGAAAGCGGATGTAACCGAAAACGCTTAAAGAAGTCAATGCAATGAAAAACTACCGAGAAAATTAACAAGAGCCTTATGGCAGGCAGAATTGATACACGGCAATGAAAAGGTAAAATGGTTCATGAAGTTCTTTGCAATTAATCCAATCAATCAATGACCATGAGAACCAGCATCATTGCCTACTTTAGCTGTCATGGTAAACTTATTAAGTGCCTTTAGGTATTTCTTCAGGTACGCAACGAAATTTCAATGAGAATTCTGAACTTTGGACTTGCTAAGAAGCAAAGAAATATTATGGGAAATCATTTTAGAACACGACTTACGAAGGACAGAAAAATTAAAAAAGTTATTAGGTAAAAGTAATTAAGCAATTAAAAGAGTACTCAGTGTTATAAATAATAATTCGAAATGATTTTAGTAGTTTTTCATTTCTGAATATTACTAGTTTTACAATCTCTGTCTCAGAAAAAAACATCTCAGGTATTGTAATTTAAATCTATCGCCAGAAAACATATTTCATTTATTTTAGTGAAACAATAAGAGGGCCTCATTGCAAAGGAAGCAGTAGCGAGAGAAAATCTTGCTTGGCATATAACATTGTAATCATGAATCCGAATAATACAAATTCCAGATCTTTAATTTTTAAATTACCATATGCAAAGGAAATTTTAAAAAATGTTAATATTAATGAAATCTATTCCTACAAACAGCAGCAAGACAGTCGGATGGAATGATATGTTGACATAAAAATATCTTGCTTGACCTAAAATCATGTAAACAAAAAAAAAGGAAACATTTTCAGGCATTGATTTTTAAATTCTTCCATGCAAAAAAAAAAATTTAAAAATTTAAATTTACATACATGATTATGGCAGCACCCTGTTCGCAGTTGTACAACTTTTATAGCAATCTTAGTTGGCCGAGTTGAATGGTGTGAGGAATTGGCAGTTAACTTTGAGCCACGGCACAAGGCATGAGGGAAGGCAAAACAGCCACTCAGG